AATAGACCAGTTTCGAATTCCAAATTACCGCTGTGTTCCTTGATTACAGACTCATTTGCACAGGGTTAGCCTCGCATCAGTGTTTAAATATTCACAAATACCAACGGTAAAGTAAAGAATGCACAACTTCAACAATACAAACACTTTGAAACTCGACGGACCTTGACTGGAACACGTGAATATTCTGCACAAACTCGAGGCTAACCCTGTGCAAATGAGTCTGTAATCAAGGAACACAGCGGTAATTTGGAATTCGAAAGGGGTCTATTTCCAATTCGATTGGTGAGTTAATTAGTCATGCCCTGACTTACATCAGCCCAGAGGTTGTTTCAGGGTTCGGTCTGTGAATTAGCCGTGCCCTGACTTAGATCAGCCCAGAGGTTGTTTCAGGGAAACACTACAGCTAGAATTTAAAGAAATTATGTGACTGAGCTATAAGCCAATGAATTTCAGCTAATCAAAGTACGCGCTATAAAGACTCAAAGCCACCAAGTACCGTTCTGTTATTTTTTATTTTTGACTTTTGACTTTATCTCTTTGCTTGCTAACCTCGAGGCGAAATCAAGGGGTAGAGCAGACTGAGGTAGACCATAGGCGTGATTATTATGATAGGTAGTTGCACAATATTCACAGCCAGGAAGTAGCTGAGACGATTGATGCCGGTAGACGATTCCCTGAAAGCAAAGAAGAATTAATAAGTATAATCAAAATGAACCTGAACAACTGCAAAGCCTTTTTCAGATTTTAACATAGGTGGGGGATGGTGACGTAGTTTGTTTTTGGTTGATGGTTGTTTAGATTGCCAAGAAGAAATCTATTGGAAAATTTATCATATTAAAGTGACAATATCTATTGTCAAAATAAGTGATTTTTAGTGAACAATAATGCACCACAGAATTTGGCCAGCTGGGTTACTAGGAGAGCAAAAGATGCTAGCTAGACCACAATGCACCATCAGGATGTTCGCTATCCTAGTAACGGTATTCTGATGAACGAAAGATTCTCATATCCAAGCTAGACCACAATGCATCATTTTAACTATTCAAAAAAGGTCTATTTAACGGTACGGTGTTCTGGGAATGGCACGACTTGCACCACATAACACTCGAAGACTTACTTAGAGTTGGTTATTCATATTATAAATTCACTGGAGGTCTGCGCAGAGCACGAGGCGAAGACCTGTACTCTAGTGCGCCGCCATTGCATTTCCTATAATATTAGCAAACATACAAGGACAGAGGTTATTATTGAGCCTGTAACCAAAGACTACAGCGGTATTACCTCCAGAAAGTAGCCCTATTGTTGCCAAAACAACGCAGTGAAGACAACATGGCCGTCAGACCAATGGCAAGTGAGCTGAGCGTTTGCAGGATGAAGAACTTATCCAAGGTGGCCTGTGGAGAGAAATTGAATGGACTACACTCAGCCAAAACAAGCACTAGCATAGTCTCCTTTGCAGCCGTTCTTAGTTTCAGTCAGAAACGAAAAACGTCTGCTGAGGAGAAAAGCACTAGCTAAGCTTCGCTGATTATTTCTCATGGGCTACCTGTGGTAGGCTGATATGTATATCTATCACTCTCGACCCAGAGGTCTGTTATTTTTAATGCGCATGCTAGAAATACCAGCTAATAGGCCAGTTCGTAGCTTAAGAATCGTTTTCAGTGCGAATGCGGTTTTATACCGAATTTCTCATCTTTTTTCTAAATGTTTTTTGTTCTCAAATCAAAAAAAGATGAGAAATTCTAGATAAAATCGCATGCGCATTGAAAAGCGATTCTTAAACTACGAACTGGCTTATCGAGCATGCGCACTAAGAATGGCAAGGCCTTGAGAGTCGAGACTGAGATATGCATAACTTAACAGGGTTATACTTCATGCATTCTTACATTGCGTCTCAATGCTCCCAGCATTCCACCAGCAAGAAGAACAAGACAGAGATCCATCACAAGACTTTTCACGAGCCGGAATTGGAACTTAACTTCGCGGTGAGAAAAGGAAACGAGCTGCCTTAAAAATCCTGGAAGCTTTCGGTTTTGATCTTTAAGAAAAAGATTATTCGATTATTAGGACAGGACAGGACAGGACAGGACAGGACAGGACAGGACAGGACAGGACAGGACAGGACAGGACAGGACAGGACAGGACAGGACAGGACAGGACAGGACAGGACAGGACAGGACAGGACAGGACAGGACAGGACAGAAGAAAGGAAACGACTCTATTTTGCTTGTATGTAGTTTTATTTCAATTTAACCATGTCCGGTAAATGGAGAAATGATATCTAATCATAACGTGCTTATGTCAACTCTATTTTACTTACCTGCGTCAAAAGTTTGTATTATTTCAGCATGTGTTTCATCGCCATTAACTTCGCTCTCATATTCTTGTTGCTGATCTTCCCATTTGTCAAAAAGACTTTTGGAGTCGAATCCGCCAGCTCCATCTGTAACGTTGTCATGGAGACCACCAATCACGTCCATGTAGAAGTCAGCAGGGTTGATATTCTTTGGGCAGACCAGACCGTGCGAGTTGAAATACTCCTCCGCATCATCTACATTTCCCAAGTACACAGTTCGGCCACCAGGTCCAAGGAATAGGGTTTTGTGTAAAGCACCTGAGGGGGGAGGTGTGGGGAAAGAATTACCGGAAAGAATTATTCGCCAAAGGCGATCGAAGTGAATACCGGAGAATGATTACTATTCAATTACCCAGCTTATTGTTTTCTCTCCACACTATATATCATTGATTGCTGAGAGCAAAATTTTACGCCCTCAGCTGACTGCAATACATCTAATATTGCTGCTGGCCGCAGTAACTATATCTATTACAGAATCACTGGTCACTCGACCAATCACAGCACGCGATCGGATACTAAGGCTTTTTAATGCACTCGAACTCCTATTAGGCGGCCAACCACAGGGAATCGTGGCAGCTCAATAGACCTCTTGGGCTTGGGGTAATGTTTTCCCATTTCAAACCACGTGTCATTCCCTTGAGAATAAGATTCTTTATTTGAGCTGTATATCCATATTCATGTGTCTTCTCATGTGCAACCGAGCGCAAACCTTAAACAAAGAAATGATACTCTAGGGAATGGCATGTGGTCTGAAATGGGAAAACATTACGTCAGAGCCGAAGAAGTCTATTAAAGTGGACCCCTAATAGATGGTAGACTCACGATAGAAGTCATAAATCAATGGCCGCTAATAGAAGTTCTACTGTATTTATAACTCTTACTGAAGATTTCGAAGCGAGGTTGATGAATGACACACACGACAGTCAATCTGCCTTTCTCGGCTACAGCACGTAAAGCATCGAGCACAAGAAGACTGGATGTACTATCCAGACCGCTGTACAAGAAAGAAAAAATATGTGTATAATCTCTTGCTTGTCTTAAAATAGTTATGGTCAAATATTCATAAGTATATATATATATGTTTAATCGAGAGAGAGCCGCTAAGGAAAATCGCGATAAAAAAACTTATTGAGATTTGAGTCGGCAATCCTTCGTTTGCACGTTACGTCATCGCGGCCATGTTGGTACCATTTAACAAAAGATTTATCATTAGCATCCATTGTTAACGGTATCACAATGGCCGCCATGTTTTTGTCTTTTTACTCTCTTGGGAATGCTTGCAACCCATCAATACGAGTTTCTATTGATTGCTTTGGAAGAAAATATATCCCGTATTGGACTTCGTGGCAAATACGGGATATATTTTCTCCCAACTAGCCGCGCTAATATATACCCGTATTGGCAACTCAAAATTGCAATAACTTATTGTATTTTTTCGTCTAAGACCAACTAACCTAATGCTTAAATCTATTACGTTACGTTACGTAACGTAACGTTACGTTACATTAACGTACCTGGTGGGTTCATCAAGAAACAAAAGTGTTGGATCAGCAACAAGCTCCATTCCGATGTTCACTCTTTTTCTCTGTCCTCCTGAGATACCGCGAGTTTCCTGTGGGTAAGCAGCATAATTATTGAAATTAATTAATGAATGATGACACCGATAACATGATGAAATAAGACGTTATCATAATGGTGTTTAATTATGGCGAGTAATGATCGCGACGATGACGATGATGGTCAAGACGAAGAAGTAATGATGATGAAGATGATGATGACGATGGTGATGATGATCGCGATGATAATGATTATGATGATGATCAAGATGATAGTGTTAATAATAGCGGTGTGTATATAAACCTATTTCAAAAAACGTTGTCATCACCAAAGGCGATAGGCGATAGGCGAATAAGCAATAGGCGATATGTCATTCCAAGATCCAAGAATAGCTGGAATGACTTGTGTTTCTGCTTCTTATTCTCGTCAAGAACATGGACCTTAGTGTTGAGACTGATTCAATGTTGTTTGTATTCAACGAAATCATTTCCATGTCGGAATGAGGACCTATCGCCTATCGCCTTTGGCGATGACAACCTTTATTGAAATAGGTGTATATATAGTTATGCGTAAGGATGGTGCATGATGATGATGATGATCATAATTGGCTCATATTTGGAGAGTAGGATAGAAAAGCACCTTACCTCGTCACCAATTTTAGTATTTTTCACTTTAGTTAAATCCAATAATTCGATGATCTAAAAAAAACATGTCACCATTTACACTAGTACATCGATATTTGACAATTATTCCCCAAAGGCGAAGGTGAATATCGGAAAATATTTACCGATATTCACTAAGCCTGAGAATTGAGCTGAGGTTGGATCGTTTTTCAACAAGTGAATTTAATAAAAAAAACGGAGAAAAAGTTTTGTTATGTCGACGAAACGGCTTGTCGTCATTTTTCAAAAATAGAACCATGGGTGAATATAACAGCATAAAACGTAAATTTATATTCATTTGTGTAAAAATACTAAATATACATATATATGTATGTTCATTTGTTGAAAGAGCTAGATAAGATAGAATATGAACCTTTATCTATCCTGGGTAATCCTTTCACTGATTTTAAAAATAGCTTTAAGATTCGGACAAACATTGCATTCTTAAAGTTACAATAATAACCCATGTAAACTAAGATCAACTGCGATCGGCTGTGAAAATTATCTGCTGAAAGTAAACTTGTAAGTTTGTTTGTCCGAATTTCGCCTTTGTCTTCGTTTTTAAGACGTCACGGTTGTGCTGCGCTATTTCATTAAAATGTACCTCGTTGACTCTCCTTTTTTTCTCGGATGAAGGGATGGTTGAAGGAAGTCTCAGCTCTGCCTGGAATCGCAGAACCTCAAAAATGGTAAGGGACCTGTGCATTATGTCTTCCTGTGAACAGACAGAGATAGAGAGAGAGTAGTTTACTTCACGAGAATATAGCTTATATAACAGGCCTTTTCACTAAGAGACTTGATGATGTTTCCTATACATGTTTAGGAAACATTAATAATTAATTAATTAATAATGAATATTAATACGCACCTGAGGAACAAATCCAATGAAGGTTTTGATAGACTTTAGATCAACGACTTCCATGCCATTTATCTTTATGACCCCTTCACGTTTCTTTTAACCATAAAAACGCAACAAATTATAAGAATTAATTGGATTAAATAACGTATATGTAACGTATATATAAAGGATATATAAAGGATATATCTATACTACTTACTCCATAGTAAGCCTTCCCACTCAGTGTGTTTAACAGTGTTGTCTTGCCACAGCCTGAAGGTCCCATGATGGCAGTCACTTCTCCTGACTGTAGTTTACCAGTCACTCCTTGGAGAACCTTCTTGTTCAACTGATTAGAAACACAATATATTTGATTTGTAGCCCCCTAGCCTCAATGCATATATGAGGAAACTGAGCTGCTGGATTACATGTATTCGTCCTTTTACCTAATATGGCAGCTAAGCAACTTTTCTTACTTCACGGATAAAGCAATTGGTACACCAGTTCGCATTAAACGTATACCGCTATGAGACTAAAGACTCATCTGTACACGCTTCTCCTCGTTTAAAATCATCTAAAATCATTTGCATACATATAAATCAACCGTAATTAATGAAAGGAATGTGCAGCTTGAACAATTCTTCGTTTGCATTAGACGTCATAGCCGCCATGTTGGAAGAATTTGACAAAAGATTTTTCAATGAATTCTTTTGTTATATCTTCCAACATGGCGGACATCCCTTTGGTTATTGTGCTCTCTTGGGATTGATTGCAAACCAAGAATGCCAGCGGTATTTACCGAATGAGAAAATGAACTAAAGTATTTACCGAATGAAGTATTCGAATATATAGGAAATAAGTGCGGAGACGAAAAAACTAAAATTCGTGTAAAAAAAATCAAAAAATAGTCCCTTTTCTCATTCGGTAAATACCGCTGTGTTTTATGACTAAATATTCATCTGTACAGGCTTAGTCTCGCTTAAATAAAGAGCAAATCATTTGAAAAAGTCAATGCAAAGAGTGTGCAGCTTGAACAATACACATGTTTTAAAATCCCACGGACTTTCAATGGCATCTGTGAATAGCAGACTCATAAACGAGGCTAAGTCTGTGCAAATGAATCCGTGGCCTTCAAAAACAGCAGTATGCATCGAATGCGAAACTGGTGTATTCCTCAAATATGGAACACCCAAATGCTGCAGTTTGTGATCGTCGCCCAAAACTTCTTGGGTGTAGTGTTTACCCATTCCAGACCACCTGTCATTTAACGGTTGCGCGTGAGAAGACACATGAATATGGGGATGGCACTAGGTCTGAAATGGGAAACCATTATGCCCAAGTGGATGTGGTCCATTGGTGGCAAACCATTCGTTCTGACAAGAGTTACTAAAAGTCATTTTAAGCCAACTATTGCGCGCCTAGTTTTATATCCCCCGATACCTTTTTAAGAGTAAGACTGAGATTTTTGAACTCCAAGTTGATTACGTCCTGCTTTGGCGAAATAGTGTTTCCATCCACTTCAACAGTTGCTATGTGTTCCGAGAGTACCCCAAACTCGTTATTTTCTTTCCTCATGATCCTGTCACGCATCTTCTTCACGTAGAAATTAACCTTGTCTTGCTTACGGAAGTAGTAAATCAAGGCAATGAATATAAGGAATAGAATGACGATGAAGAGGACACCTGCGCCCGTGCTGGACGGTGCTTTGGAACCTTTCTTGCACGCTGACAGAAGCTGAAACAAATGCGCAACATATCCTTGAGATAATTGCAAGAGAGCATCACCAGGGAGAGGGTGTAATATCAGTTTGAAAGTTAAAGATAGTCCGTGCGTCCGTGCGTCCGTGCGTCCGTGCGTGCGTCCGTGTGTCCGTCCGTGCGTCCGTGCGTGTGTGCGTCCGTCCGTCCGTCCGTTACTCACCGGACATGGCTGTGGTTCAGTGAAAGCTTTACGACAAAAATACCCCTTCGGACAAACCGTCTTGGTAGTGACGTTGGGGCAATAATTCCCCTCCGGACAGGGTGTGGGTTTTTGTGAACCAGGGCACAACAGCTTCTTTGTCACTTTGTCGTAGACGGGAGTAGAGGAAGACGGCTCGCAGCATTTTCCAGCCTCTCGGCACACTAAATTTGGAGATGTTTCCTGTCAAAGGGAAAACAGTAAAGGTGCTGTCAGAGCAGGCAAAGTTCAGCTGGTTATTGCTAGAGTGCAGAGCGTCGGAATGCAGCTCAATTTGGAGGACATAGCAAAAATTATGAGAATTAAAGGTTTGAATTGTTTTGTTTTGTCCTCCAAATTGAGCTAGTTTGACCTTACATGCAAGGGGTCTATACTCTTAAAACAGAGCACTGAAGGAGAGGGGGTAAAGTGCGCGCCGTCGGCCTCCTGGGATACCAGTCGTGCAGCTGAAGGAACTAAAGATGTTAAATATAGTTGCTTCAAGATCGATCTGATCTATCGGGTTTAGTTAAGATGGCATTGACCGGTCGCAATTATACTTTGCATACTTACGCTAGCAGGAACTAACTTATCCTTGATGCAATATGCCCCATCAGGGCAAGGGATTATACAAACAACATCGGACAAACAGTAGAACCCTAGCCAATAAAACGAAATGCAAACAGCTTAGTAAGAGGGGATTGCCTTTTACAACTCCTAAATTCTTATTCGTTCGAGGGGTTTTTCGTCTACTTTTTCTCTCTCCACGTGCACAAAAATTATCTTCTAAAGTTTAATTCCCGTGCTTCGAAGGTTTATACTCCGGTTTTCCTTCCTCTACAAAAATGAACTCCTAAATTTGAATAAGCCTGAAGCGAGATGACGTTTTACCCCCGACTCTATACCATAATAGTTTTTAAAATTCTTTCATATTAAAATTTTTGATTCCTTGGAAAATACAGGAACAATAGTCATAATTAAAGAACAAAAGCAGTGTGAAAAGGATTATGGTCTAGAGACGGGGGTAAAACGTCATCTCGCTTCAGGCTTATTGTAGGGTATTTCTTCTGTATTTCTTCGTTCTCCTTCCTCTACTGACAAAAATAAACTTCTAAATTCAAATTCGATATTTTAGGGACCTTGTCAATAGGTTGAAAAACGTTTTGAGTCCTCCGTCCACCCATGAAGTAGTAAAGTTTATAACTTACCCTCAGGACAAGGCAAATAATCCCTTGTAAATGGGTTAATATAAAAGCCTGCTTGGCATGCCGGGGTAGTCCAGGGGTGCATACAAGCGGGTTTTCTAAAAGCAGTAACGTTGACGGGCGGTGTTGGGCTGGTGTGGGGATTTCTGCTTGTAGAGTTGGTGTTGCACGGTTTGATATTCGGGCAGCAAAGATGCAGGTATTCATCAGGACAGCACCCTGCTTGAATATCTGTGTACTTGTCTAGAATATTTATCAAAGAGGGATTTAATATAATATACGGTCATTTACTAGCTTAAATTAAAAGTTAGTAGAGTTTGTTAGGTCTTCTCTTGATTCGAGGGCTTTTCTCCGGGTTCTCCGATTATCCTTCCTACGCAAAACCCAACATGCTATAATTTTTAATTCTCGACTTTCATAGGTTTGATCAGCCTATTGAGACCGGAATTACACACACAGAAATTAAGCAAATAAAAACTTCAACTAAGGAGTATGTTTTTTCCATTTCAGGCCGCGCGAAATAATAATCGGAAGAAAATATCCAGTTTTAATTCCAACAGTCCAGCAATCCTTCAAACCGGAATTCAGATTTTCGCGTGCGCGTGGTTATGTCAGTAGACATTCTGTCTCCACGCACGCAGCTTAGGATCGAATTACCTTTTGCTTTTGGGCTGGTTCACACTTTAACATAATTTAAGCATACGCATAAACATATTAAGCGTAAGAAACACAAGTATGAACTGGGCTTGCACAAAGCATAAGCATAAGCATCAGCTGTTTCAGGTCTTTCAGGTCTTTCAGCTCTTTTTACTCTTTCAGCCGTTTCAGTTTCAGCTTTTTACCGGTACCGCGACCCGATCGAGTGCTTCGTGCAGCCCAGCACGTCCAATGTAAAAATGTCTTTCGAGCCACCAATATGTATTGATAAAGATATATTGTTATAATGCCAACTATACTACTATTACGAAAACTTTTAAGGCTGCATGGCTTTGTCCAAAACTACATTTCCATCCTTGACCTAGTTACTGCAGTAGCCAGGATTAGTAAGTAACTACGGTTCAAACACGCGGTTCGTGCGAACGGTTTTTCAAAAACCCCGGCCTCTTCAAAAACAATCTCACAACCAGCCACAACGATCCACAACAAGCCACACAGCGAGTTACAACGAGTCATATCAAACGAGCAACAACTAGTCATAACTGACACACAGGGATACAAAACGATTTCAAAAGTATAAACAAGACCTAAATGTCACGCACAAAATATCGAGTAACCGAACCGCCAATTTTACTCAGACTGCTCATGGTTCTTACTTTTTAWCTCGTGGATACGCGAAGCGTAGAAACGAGTTATTGTGAGGGGTCTGAATATGCAAATGTGTCACTCGCTCACTCACTCACTCACTCACTCACTCACT